CAAATCAATCGATTCGATTGGATTATGATTTGTTCGATTGATTGGAAAAAAAAAACGGGGGGCTGGGGATGGGGGGGCGATGCCGTCTCGCTCACCGGAGACATGGATGTCAGCAAAACGATGGTTCTGGCAAGAATTCAGCCACATGGACGTCAGTCAGCCCAAATGGTTCTGGCTAGAACCACGTGAATCTGAGATAAGATGGCTCGGACTATAACAGATACTTTTCTTTTCTTGTTCTTTGGGACCAGATGTGGAACTCATCAGAACAGAATCAACAGATACTACACTCAGTCTCGGCCAAAACGCCGAGAAAGGTATACAGAGGTCAGCTAAGACGGTTCCGACTAAAATTCAACCGTTTGACTTTTAAGTTCCAACTACATTTTTTTTTTTTTTTTTTTTTTTCAAGAAAACAACGCCCCATCCATGCTGGAGGGCATCAGTCCGGTTGCTCATCACCGGCAAGCCAAATGTACAAGAGATACAGCTGGAAAAGGAAAGAGAGAGTAAATCAGACAAGAATCAGATACAGCCACCCTTGCAGCTCCAGTTACTTACACAAGGGCGGGGGTTGCTTTGGTCGTTCTTCCCCCAAACAATGACTCATTTGCAGGGCGCACTTGCTGGCCGGGAAGCTTACAGCAGCACCCAGACACACAGCATGTGCATCCTACTAAGATTCAAATAACAGAAAGGTGCAACAAATAACAGAAAAGTGCAACAAATAAAGAATAAATGGGCTATCCTGGATTTGAACCAGAGTCCTCGCCCGTGAAGTAAGTCACCCTGGCAACTTATTGATTGGTCAAGTAATCAGCAGCATGTGCATCCTACAAGTGGCGGGGCTGCGGGGAGAGCCGCCTGAAAGCCTCACCAGCCGGCTCGTGTCCAAGCTCTAGCTGGTTCCAACTACGTTTTTTTTTTTTTTTTTTTTTTTTGAGTTCTAACTAGATTTCAACCAGGCTAATAGTTCATTAAACTTTTTTTTTAAGTTTTTTTTTTTTTTTTTTTTACAAAGTCCAAGTTGTTGTAGAGGCTGGATCGAGCATATGGCATTTTTCCTTCAGTAGGATAAGCGGTCACTCTTCAGCTGTCCTGATATTTTTGCCCATAATAATGGGACCTCCAGCCTACCCATCGTCTCGTCAATTCTGTAGAGGCTGGATCGAGCATATGGCAATTCTGTAGAGGCTGGATCGAGCATATGGCATTTTACCTTTAGCATATCAGTTTTTCTTATATACTCGGATGCGTTTTCATGCTTTTAGCTGTTTTATTGATTTTGTTTCAAACGGGAACCACTGATTTACAAATCTTATTAACAACAGAATTTAGCGAACAGCGTCAAATATTGCTATGGATTGCTTTTTTTGCATCTTGTAGGATAATCGTTCATTCTTTGGCTGTCCTGTTATTTTTGCCCATAATAATGGGACCTCCCGCCTACCCATCCTCTTGTCAATTCTCCCAACCAGCTACAACAGGAACCGTAGAGCAGGTCTTCCCCACCACCCTTTTGCAAATGCTCCTTTTAGCTTGCATTCAGAAGTTGAAACTACGAACCTTGCTCCACTGGACAAGCTTGTTAAGTGCATATGGAGCTACTGATGGTCCCGATGCATTCCAAATAGTGGATCAGACCGAATGAATATAGTCAGAGGCTCTGTCCAGGTACATTTAGAATGTTGTACCATGAAGCAACGCCCTGTGTCCAGGGGAAAGTGCCAGAGCAGGAATGTAATGATCTGCACTCTTCTTCGTGGTCAAGTAAGCTCATGGATGCACATAATTACAGCTGAGAAACACTACAAAGTTTAAAATTGTGAATCTGCACGACCATCCCAGAAAGCAAGATGACGGCACCTTTCTCGGCCAAAATTTTGGCTAAGATAAAGTATATTATATGTTCTGATCAGTTTGAAATCTGATTTGTGGTCCATCGTAAAAAAAAAAAAAAAAGAGCAAGCAAGAAGATTACACAAGGGCAGAGCAGGAAAACCTACCTTCCGCACAATCGTGAGCCTTGGAGTGAGTGCACCCAACCCCCCCGGAGGAAGGCGTGGGGCGCCAGTTACAAACTGTAAAAAGGCCCGCTGCTCCTCTGGTGTGAATTCTCCCATGATTTCCAGCAGCTGCCACACCGACAAAAGAAACAAACAAACAATTCTCATTTATGAATGATCCTTCGCCCTTGAATATCAAATGAAAGAGGCCTCTGCTTTTTTTTCCCCGTTGCACCTTTGGGCCTTGGCTCCATTCTTGCGATCGATAAGACGCGAAGCATCTGCTCGAGAGTACAAAACAAGCACGGGTGTTGCCTCCAGCAAGCAATTTTGGAGTTCGAGTGCACACTTCGTGCCCTGGCCTGGAAACAGGAAGAAGTTTAGAAGACACAATCATGCACTACAAGCTCACCTCGCTCCACTACTTGCCAATTGTGCAAAATGAGAATGAATTTTCCACCAGAGCATGGGAAGATACATGGCCATATTTTGTCTTTTGTGCATGTGGTGAGTGTCTTTTGTGCATGTGGTGAGTGTCTTTTGTGCATGTGGTGAGTAGTGGAACGAGGCCCATAAGTTGGCGAGCACAACGTGCAGCCAAGTGGAATTCCTCCAGATAAACAATTGCACATTTTCAATGCAACCAGCACATTGTGAAGACACATGACATTTGGCAAATCAAGTACCAAACCTTCCAACAGTGCATTGTGAACGATGTGAAGATGTCAGATATCGAAAAGATAGTTGCACTCTCCAACTTATGGGCCTCATTCCACGACAACGACGACAAGAACAGCAACAATAACAGTACAAAACAGATGCGTACAATAGACTACTTCGCATTTACAAATTTCACACAATGGACGGACAATAAATGGATATCATATTTGCCAGTCAGAGACATGTCAGATAGTAAAAGATACTAAGATAGATATTTGCCAGGCAAAGACGTGCAAGGGATACACTGTTACAGTTAATTCGTTAAAATTGCATAATAACTATTAATAAGTTGATAACCATGAAATGCCAATCTTCGATCGACAGCAAGGGTACATAAGTCAGAGAAGTGAAGTAAATACTTGATTCACTAGAGAACAGCAATCAAACACCACTCGCGAGTCCAAGCAAAACTGCAGTCGAGCAATGCACTTCTTTTCGTTCAGTTCTTTTGCGCTTGAGGGCCTAGCGAAAACTCACATGTCGAATAGGAGGGCTGCTTGCAGTGTACCCATGATCAAATTTAATATTTTCTGCTAAAGTCTCCGCCTGTTAGCAAAAACCGAACAACCAGATACCAGTTCTTAGGAACAGTCTGATATGCTTACAACACAAACATCAGACCACCAGTTGAAAGGACCCAATGGGATGCTGAACAATCATTAGAACTCGATGCATTGCATTGCAGAGTGTTTCACATTGTTTCACAATGCAGTCCTGGCTTGGCCAATGCCACCGGAAACCATAGTACTACCTTCTTCACTGGAATAGAACGCGCCGTGATAATCACCACACCCGGACTGAAAGTTGCCCCAATTACATCTATAATGACCGGGCGTTCCATTCGGGTGAAGATGGCACGAGCACACATACATACAGACAGACCTCAGCTTATATTACGTGACAGCCTGAAGATCCAACACATGCATACACAGGAATGCACACAAGGGCACACACACACACACACACAGGGGGAGAGAGAGAGAGAGAGAGAGAGAGA